CAGCATAAGTGTGCAACATCACTTTTATATAATCATTAATTTTTAACGTAATACTTATGCAATATCAACTCATAAAATCTTAATTGTGAAACTAATTAAAACGAAAATGCAGATTTTCAATATAAAAAGGGAAAATCAGGTATGACGCAATGAGGGGAAAATGGGATACTCAACAACTTGTCATACAAGCTAAGAAAAATGAGAATGACGCGGTAGTTGGTGGACGATGGAAAGTTAGTGAAGTGATGCACAATGTTGAATCTTTAATTACGGGACAAAGGGATTTCAAATTGTGGTGTTTTGCGAAGGGCTATTTACAATTAAGCATGGGAAGAGGAGAGATTTTTCAATTTATCTGAAACACGTGTTATTATATAAATTGTGAGATATTTGTTAAAAAAGTAATAACTTATAAAATAAAACTTCTCACCACTTATATAATAACATGTGATGTACCATTTGTATTCCGATCAGAATGTAAAATTTCTCAACGAAGAGAGTGATATTTTCTGACGTTCAAGAACCTGAGCTCAAGATTGGTTGGCATCTTGAAGAGGTGGAGGTGGAACAAGTTGGATGCACTTAAATTTATGAAGTATGTTATATGCTATTGATAGTGTATATGGTTCGGACCGGTCGTTTATTTAAATTTGGACAAATTGCCTTAATATTGTACTAGTAGATGTTGTTGCATCTGGGCTCGCGAGCTTGGATTTTTGTGCTTTAGATCATGAGCCTGGACCAGCACGGGCTGGATTGGGTTCCTGGATGGGCCTGCTCGCCTGGGTGTTTTACTAGTAGAGATGTGCGGGGGTGGGGGCAGTATGGTCAAGTCACATAAAAAAGTTCTGAGAAAGAAACAGAAGAGAAGACCCGGGAAGAAACAGAAGAACGGAGGGTTTTTGGTTAAGGGAGGCAGAAGAAGAGGAAGAGAAATTTCAGTTAGAGGGAGAGAGATGGAGAGAGAGAGAGAGAGAAGGAGGGTACTAAACACAGTGTCTTGACCCGAAACCAAGCGACCAGAAAGAATCGCAGCTTTCAGAAAGCTATGGAGTCAGAGGCAGATCACACACACACTGAAATTGACCAGATTGAAGAACACTGTGCGCGCCAGCTGCTCTGCTTGACGGAACAGTGTACCAGACAAGGGCCGCGGTACACCCACATCGAGCAAAACGAGTTCTTGCATAGAAGGTAAGTTACAATCACCACTGTCTCTTTATTAGTTTTTAGCTTCGGTATGAGTTTTGTGCAATTGAGTTTGTGGAAATCGAACTGCATTGGTTGACGACTTGCCAATTTGTCTTCTGGGTTTCTCAATTTGTTGTCTTTGCCTGTAATTTGGGCTCTGTTAAGTGTTTTAATTGCAGGATGCAGTCGGGAGGATTGATGGTTTGTTTCAATTTTTTTTTGGATGGGCCTGCTCGCCTAGGTGTTTTACTAGTAGAGATGTGCGGAGGTGGAGCCAGTATGGTTAAATCACATGAAAAAGTTGGTGCATACATATAGGGAATGAGAAGCCGTAGGCTGACTATTCCAGATTTCTCCAAGAAAGTCTCTTTCTCCCTCTCTCTCTCTCTCTCTCCCTCTCCCTCTCTCTCTCTTGAGACAAAGCCATGTACCGCCTATCCAAAGACAGGAATTGCGGACCCGGATCCAAATCCAAGGCCAAGCGCCTCCCGGAAACGGAATTAGGATCCGGGCAAGGGACGAATCCAGGCCAACCGCCGAAGCACCTAGGTGAGATCCAGATGTCGGTATGATGCTTTTGGTTTTTGTTTTTAGGGTTTCTTTGTGATGAGGGAGATTATTTGTAATTTTCATATGTGATTATTTGTTTTTAAATATTAATATTGTGTTTTTGGTTTTTGCAGTATCTGAGTATTTGGCCATGGTTGCCTCTGTACAACTCTCAACAAAATGTTTTGAGTTTGAGGAAACATACTGAACAAAAATTGTTGTTTTTCCTTTCTGCATATGGGAGAATTACCCTTTAATTTTTGTTTGTTTTGATGAAGAAACGAACTTGCTATAACTAATTAGTTTCATACCTTATTTGATTTTTGTTTTAATTAGTTTCACAATTAAGTATCGCGCGTGCAAGTTCTTTTAACTATGTTGCTCCCTTAGTTTGGCTAAGTATGTGATTAGTTTGAATGAGATTGAGAATACAGAGTAATTAAACTGATATCTTAGGTTATTAATTTGTGAACATTTCCACAAAAAAAGAGGCTTTGGATGACTCTATGACTCAACTACAACTTGAGAATGCCCCGCCTACTTTAAAGAAGAAGAAGAAAGAAGAAGAAGAAACGTCGCCGTACTTCCAAGTGTTCAGTTTGCCTTAGGAAGGGCTGTGACCTAAGTATGTGCCCCTATTGGTCTAGGATCCCGCCTGGCGTGACTATTGTTGGTGAGGGCTATGAACTAACTTGTAGGCGCTTTATTCGCAAGGATAATATGTGTAGGCAGCTCGCGCCATTTTCTGTGTGTAATTGTAATGACTATGGCCACCGTGTTCTTGATTACCCGATGCCAAATATGATAAGACTGATTCCAGGCTAGACGTAGACGAAGTGACTTACCACCCGCCCATATCGCACAAGTCATACGACTCATCCATTGTTTAGTAATGACTGCATATGAGCCTGCTAAAGCTGAGGATTTCCTGGAGTCTTGCTTAATTTTCTCTTTATTATTTTAGATGTATGCTACAATGCTTCTCTAGATCTCATGCTGCAGGTTGTTGGTTATTGTATTACAATTCATATTTCTATAGTATATACTTGGTGAGTGTCAAATGTTTCCACAGTATGTATTATGTGTGTGGTTATATATATTCTGCCTACAATAAGAGCGTGCTTTGTGAGAGCATTGAGTTTTGCGAGAGAGAAGGTTGTGTGCAGGTTTTCGTGGCTTCTTCATCCATGAACATGTCTGCAGGTATGTGTTGTTGTGAATGCTTCAGTAGTTACAAATTGTGAGATCAATCACCCCTATCAGGCCCTTATTGGTTCCAGCTTCTAAGCTGGTCAAGGATGTTATCTTAGAGAAGTTACAGAATCATTACCTATTTTGGGTATATGTATGTTATATGTTGCGGGACTGCTTCCCATGAGAACTTTATACGATGTTTGAACAAAGTGTAGGAAGTGATCCGATATGGAGATGATTGGTGTTACTTTCGAGCATGTACTTCATACGATGTTTGAACAAAGTGTAGCTGATTCAAAAACATGAGCACGCTTACTGAATATAAGCTTGTTTGGATGTGCTTTTAAAATGACTGAAAGTGTTTTTAGAGAAAATATTTTTGGGTTTCCAAAGCACTGTAAGTGCTTCTACAAGAAGCACCAGTTATGTGCTTATTCTAGGAAGCACTTTAAGTATTTTCCAAGATTTACTTGCATCTTTACTAATGATTGATTCTAAAAACATTTTCACCAAAAGCGCTTCCAATCATTTCAAAAGCATATCTAAACGAGCTTTATATATTTCACCATTTTGGATTGCATAGTGCATACTTTTGCATCCATTACTTATGCGCGGTCATTTTCTTTTCTTCCTAACCTTTTAGTATTGTGGTATCGTGGTGTGAAGGCCAGTTTTCTTCTTTTCTTTTTAGCATGCAAGATGCTTTCTCGGAACTGTTGGCTGCTGGTGCAGATCTTTTGAGAGTGCAGATAAAACTAAGGAATTGAGAAAACAGAGGGACGGAATATTTTATTTTAAATCAAGAAAACTGATGGCAACATCAATGGCGGAACCACAGGGTTACCCTCCGCTGGAGGCTGCAACCCTCGCTGAATTTGTTTCTTTTGTTTCCTCCCTCCTTTTAGGGACTCTTTAGGGTTTTATTTTACTACTTTCTTTAGTTCATTAAAACAAGCATGAAGGGGAAAAAGTTTACCCTTCAAAACTGGATCTTTCTTAAAACATTTCAGGGGAACGATCTTGTTTTCACTCCATTTTTGCTGCTTAAGGGCTCCCGACACCAAGTTGTTAAGGACTTCGGTTACCTCAGCTACTGCGAGGCGATCCAGCAATAACATAACATAGAGGTTCGAGTACTGACGACACCCCCAACTGAAATGCGGAGCAATAACTTCAACTCAGCAGTAACATAACACAGAGGTTCGAGTGCATATGACACAAGCAGAACAAAGATACTGATAAGCAAGGGTTTTATTCCCAAGATGTGATTATCGTTTTGAATGCATAGTGGATTGCTTGTTTGGATGGATTCGTTCAGCTTGAATAAAACTTATTGTGGTCTGCAACATCCGCACAAGAACATTGGATTAACAGCTTCTGTTTTGGGCTGCCAAACGTTGTTAGAAGCGGCTTTTATTATCTGTTTTTTGTCAGCGATCAATAGAACACAATCAAATGCACTTATGGATAACAATTTTCTAGTGCTTTTTGGAGAAGCAAGTACTTGGTGCTTCTTCAAGTAGTACTTTAATGAAGTGCTTTTTTTTAAGAATCAATTGGATTGTCCATCAAAACTTTTCATATGATGTACAGGAGGTGGATCTTAATGTGCAATGGCTTGGAATTATTTAATACCAGTATAGTTGAATGAGTAACTTGTCAAAGATTTCATAAAAGGTAATGTTATGTATAGAGCTATAACTTGAATTTAACATGTAGGATGGGTGAACCTACATGAAGAGGGAGAAGATGGTGCTCTCGTTGGCACCTACGAGGTAGGGTAGGTAGCTGATTATTTGCGTTTCTAATGCGCAGGAGACATACTGGAGAAGGAAATAAAGAGAACGAGAAACACAGAGGAAGCTAGAGAGAGCGTATCATTGGTCCGACTAATTATACCGAGCTTTTTGAAGAGATAAATAAACAGGTGTGAATTGGACTAAAAGGTGGGACTAGATAAATTATACTAGTACTATTTCGTATATAATCACACTAAACAGCCGGGCTGCCAAACGGGACCATATTGTATTGGGTTGGATTCTTTGAGTACCCGAATCCGTAAATGATGGCCTAGGACCTTCCAACCCGCTCAATCTGGTTTCCGGGTTTATCTTGTCGGGCGACCATGAGAGGGTTTTGTGACACACTTATCCACCATTTCTGAGAGAACCAAAAATATTGAATTGCAAGGAAAAACGCCATGGGAGGAGTATCAAGAACTCTCCTTACTTTCTCTTTCTCCTCAAACCTTTTCGCCTTATCTCGTCTCCCGGCCGCCAAACGCTTCTCTCTCATCAAACCCACCAGGGTTTTAACAGGGTTTAGGCCTCTTTGCACCGCCACAGCCACAACCACCACCGCCAGCCCCGCCGGCGCGGTTGATTTCGAAGACGAAGAAGCCCAACCCCTGAAGCACTCGTTGCTTCTTGAGAGGCTGCGGCTGAGGCACCTCAAGAGTAATGCCAAGCCCCAAGCCAGAACCGGTGGCGGAAATTCAATCGGGGATGCCCAGAGGCAGAGCGATGAGGGGTTGGGGAGGTCGGAGAGTAGGAAGAAGAGGGAAGTTGGGAGTTTTGGGGAGTTGGGTGTGAGCGAGGAGGTCATGGCGGCGGTGCGAGAGATGGGGATTGAGGTTCCCACTGAAATCCAGTGCATTGGGATACCGGCGGTGTTGGAAGGGAAGACTGTGGTCTTAGGTTCACACACTGGCTCCGGCAAGACTCTGGCTTACATGTTGCCTCTTGCCCAGGTACTTTTTCCTTTGCTTCTTGCAAAATTAGAATAAAAATGTTTTCGATTACTTTTTGCTATTTGGGTCTGTTAAATTTTTGAATTTTGTGCTTGTTTGAGATGTAAAGCTCTAGAATTTTGATCAGTTGTGTTGGAACTTTGATTTGATTGCGTTTTCCTGCAATGTATGCTATACTTTACATGTGTTTCCTTAGGAGCCACCTTACGTATCAGGTTGGATTGAGATTCTTTAGGTTGCTTAGATTCTACCTGCTTACACTTTCAGCAAGCTATTTATCAAGACCACAATGGTAATTGTGTGCGAGTGTGATGTGTTTGTTGCGTTGTTGTTACCCACTCTTGCCTATGTTGCAATGAGAATTAATCAGAGGAATGCTGATACTCTGGGATTTTTGTAGCTGTTGAGAAGGGATGAGGCTGAAAATGGTATTCAAATGAAGCCCAGGCGTCCTAGAGCTGTTGTGCTATGCCCCACAAGGGAGCTGTCTGAGCAGGTTTATTCTGAATTTAGAACCACTACCTGTGGACTATGCATTTTCTATTGACATCTGGTCGGTTTTGTAGGTTTTTCGTGTTTCCAAGTTTGTCAGTCACCATGCAAGGTTCAGGTCTACAATGGTAAGCGGTGGTGGTCGGTTGAGACCTCAGGAGGATTCATTGAATAACCCAATTGAAATGGTAGTGGGTACCCCTGGAAGGGTTCTCCAACATATTGAGGATGGCAACTTGGTTTATGGTGACATCAAATACTTAGTATGTTTATCTGTTTATTTAGTTTTTTCCATTAAGTTGGTTAGTAGATAATATGGTCATATCAAGTTGTCACTATCTTTGATGAAGAACAACATATTCTAGTAAATTGTTGGTGCACTTAGTGATGTTAGTAATCTCTTTGTAGGTATTGGATGAGGCAGATACCATGTTTGATCGTGGCTTTGGTCCAGACATACGCAAGTTTCTGGTCCCATTAAAACATCGCGCATCAAAACCCGGAGGGCAAGGGTTCCAAACTGTTTTGGTCTCAGCAACAATGACAAAGGTGTGCTTACTTACATTCCGTCTTATTTGACAAGAAGCAAAATTTATAAGTTGGAGAAATAGACACCAATTGAAAGTGAATTGTTCCTTCCCCATTTTCACTAAGGGAACTCTTTGTTTCATTGAAAAGCATATTTGGTTATTTTGTAATTTTTCTCATAAGAAAACATAAATGTATGTCATTAACAATGAATTCCAGCTTCGTGTTATAACTACTTTGGCTAATTTGTATTTCTTTCTGATATTTTTGGGTTTCAATACTTTTTTTTACTACAGGACCAAGTTTCACCAAGTAATTTTACTTTATCATGGTACCAAACAAGGGCTAAATTTAGGAATGAGCCAAGCCAACCAATGCAGGTTGAGCTCATTCCACAAATGAGCCAAGCCGAGCTAAAACTTTTGAAAAATCATCCAAACCGAGCTTGAACATAGCTCTACAAGCTTTGATTGAGCTTGAGCTCGAATAATGTTTGAGCATCTCGATACTCAGCTAAGATTGGCTTATTTACACTTCTATTGGGATGGAGACATGAAACATAATAAAAGAGTCATCCTCTGAAGTTCTGAACACATCTCTTAGTTGAGGTGTTGGAAATTCTCTGACGCCTGCTTATGACAATGTTATACCTTTGACAACTGTAATCTGGATAATATCTTGTGCACAAATTGTGTCTTTTATGAAGTCAGTGGAAATTCAAAACCTGACCCTTATGAGATTTTTCAGGCAGTGCAAAACCTGATCGATGAGGAGTTCCAAGGAATATTACACTTGCGCACATCCTCACTGCATAAGAAGATTGCATCTGCTCGCCATGATTTCGTTAAGATTTCAGGTTCTGAGAACAAGCTGGAATCACTTCTACAGGTCTAATTCTGTGATACCGTTTTTCTTTTTCATGCTTTACTTGTCAAGTAGTAAATGTGTCTCATAATGACTAACATGTACGGTGGCCATAAAGTTAATCTAGCTTAAGTTGTTTCTTAAACTGGCGGGCAATTGGGCTTTTTAATGACCGATGGTTCCTGTACTATTCCAAATTGATCATTTTAGTCACAATTCTTTCAATTCGACCAATTTCATCCTTACCGTTAATTCCGTTCATTTTTCTGTCAAAATTGAGGGTCCTTCCACCTTTCTTTCTGTCTCCTTAATTACCCCCACAAATGCCATGACTACCGATCACCCCGAACCAATCCCTTCCTACTCCTCTCCTCACACACCCTTTCTCTTCCTCTAGACAATTTTAATTGCTACCAATTGGGTTTGAAGTTAGGGAAATATTTCATGTAAAGAAGAAAAATCCCCACCTGCATATCTGCTGTTAATGTAGAAATTTTGTAAAAACGCTCATATCATCAGAGTTAAGACCACCTTCTTCATCTGGAGCCATTTGCAGATTGCCCTTTCATTCAAAATATCTGAACGCAACGATATTCCCAATTCCCAACTCCCACCACACCCCTTCCTTCTCAAAAAGCTTAACTCTGTGTCTGTGGAGGAAAAGAATAACACTTTTTTGTGCCACCCAGGAACACGGAGATTGAATCACCTCCATCTACCCAGGTGGTATATATGCCTGAACAACACTTCTGTTTCAAAATAGTGACTAGGAAACTGCTATTATATGAGTTTGAACTCAAGGAAAGCTTCAAGGATGAGGAATTAAATTCCTATTCTGCTAAACCCATGGTGTAACTGAAATGAATCAGGGAATTGGGGTGACAGATGGGTTCTGTGGAGGTATCGAGGAGAGAGAAAGAGTGGGAAGTTGTGGGTGGGATTGATTTGCCAATTTTACCCTCAATTTGACAGGAGGAGGATGAAATTAATGGTAAGGATGACATTGATGCATGCCATACAAGAAATAGGGAAGATATGGATTGGATTGAAAGAATGGGGATGAAAATGAGGAGTTTGGAATAGGACAGAGACCATTGGTGATAAAAAGGCCAGAAGTTATTTTATCAATATGTTTTTTTTTATATTTATCTTGGTTTACTTCTTGAAGGTTTTCTACATGAAAAGAGCATGGGTTGATATTGCAGTGGTCTAACAAGAAAATACTTTTGTGGATTTTGTGGTAAACGCAGGTTCTGGAGCCAAGCTTAGCGAAGGGAAATAGAGTAATGGTGTTTTGTAACACATTAAGTTCCAGCCGTGCTGTGGATCACTTCCTCAATGAAAACCAGATCTCTACTGTCAATTATCATGGTGAGGTGCCAGCAGAACAAAGGTGAGACAATAAAAAATATTACCTCTCTTTCCTTTGTACTTGTAATGTCTGCACATTTTCACTTTAGAAAGAGTCCATACTGTTGTTGTTTTTTCCTGTTTACAAGCATGGGTTTTTATATGTTGCTTTTGTTCTTTTGGTAGAGTTTGGTTGTTTTTATCAATGCGGATCAAAGTTTAAGCTGTATGAATTTTGGTTTCATTTTTTTTCTTATTTTCCTCCTTTGATTCCCCTTTTTTTAATGTTAAAAGCCTCTGTGTACCTCTAAGGAAATATCTTCTCTTGCTATACGTGTGGAAACGTAAGATGATGTTAGCTTACTGTGAATCTGGAACATTGAATAGTTTTCTTCTTGCCTGAATGTGTGGCCCAGACACTCAAGTGCACACAAGTCCGTACAAACGCTTAAATTAATGTCAGTAGTGTTCAATTCTAGTTCTTGGCCTGACTGCTTTCTTCGAACAACTGTAATACAGGGTTGAGAACCTCAAAAAGTTTAAGAGCAACGATGGAGATTGCCCTACATTGGTCTGCACAGACCTGGCTGCAAGGGGACTGGACTTGGATGTAGACCATGTTATCATGTTTGATTTTCCTTTGAACTCTGTAAGCATCAGATATCTGCTGTGTTTCAGTGTTAAATAATGTGCTATTGTATTTAGGACTTCTACATCTTTCCTTTTTCTTCTTTGGACGCTGACCTTCCCCCTTGTTTGACATTTTAGATTGACTACCTTCATCGTACAGGAAGAACCGCTCGTATGGGTGCAAAAGGTATACATGCATTTCTATTTGTAATTTTATTTAGTTTCCTTCTTAGAATTACAAGGAATGCGCATCTGTACCGGACTTAGGTGAGTCTTTTGTCCTGTTTGTGCTTGAATCTATTGATGGCATCCACAAGATTTTGAATCGACCGCAGATGAGGAATCTTAACATGATATTGAATAAATATAAAAAAGAAATTATTGACAGTATTCCGTTGTAAGATTAGTTTTCATTTACTTAACACAACATAGAGGAAAAGGATAGGAATAAAAAACCACACGTCTTGTGTAAAGCAAGTGTTGCCTCTTTCCGAAAGGCTACATCTTTGTAAGTATTATCGTTCATTTGTTGACTTTCTGTATTTTTGTATCTCTCAATGATGGAATATTTGTTGGATTGATTCTCATAGTTTGTGACAATCAATTTTTTATTTCTTTGTTTGGTTACACTTCATGCTTTAGTGTAATAATCTTGAAATCAAATAACTCTTGTAATGCAGGGAAAGTAACGAGTTTGGTTGCTAAGAAGAACCTTATGTTATCAAACCGAATTGAGGAAGCAATAAAGAAGAATGAAAGCTTAGAATCTCTCAGCGTAGATAGTGTCAAGAGGGACATTGCCCGCTCGCGAATTACTCCACAGAATGGAAAATTGGTAAGAGTCTCAAATCAGAAAAACAAGAGCAGGCCAGCATTTGCACCTGCAAAATCTGCAAAACCATCTTTTCAGTCATCGAAATCAGTAAAGCCTTCCAGAGCAAGCAGCTCCAAAAGAGCTCCTTCCAATGCAAGCAGCTCAAGAAAAGCTCCTTCCGATGCAAGCAGCTCAAGAAAAGCATCTTTTAGTGAGAAGAGGCAAACAGAAGGCAGAAGATCCAGTACTGTTAAATCAACGCCCTCGAAGTTAAGTGTTGTTGGGTTTAGGGGTCGAGCTTCTTGGTCTAATAAGAAAGAATCGTTCGCGTCTGGCTGATTGTAGTCAAAACTTTAGGGTATAAAATGTTTTGTAATACTTAAATCTTGAATGTTCTTTGCTAAAGAAACTGTTGGCAGTCTTGCCGTGGTGCTCAAGTCTTGACTCTACCCTTTCATTTCTGTGTTAAATATTGAATCGTATTACAAGTTGTCATGTAATACCATCGATATCATAAGATGATTTAAACTTGTGAAAACAGGCACTAATTTGAACGAAAAGGAAAGAACAACTTGTGAAAAGAGGCATTGACTACAAGAAATTCCGGTGGCACGATCATTAACTTGAAACGGAGTTGGACGCTGGCACTTTGTTCTTGTTTACTTCCAGGTTAAACGAGGAGTCTTGTCAGGCTTGACGATGTTCCCCTCAGCGTCGTAGATTATGACACCCGAAAAATCTGGTAGCTGGCACTTTCCACCCATGAGTATGTTCTTCTGCCAGACCGGGTCCTCTTCCTGCTCATCACTATCCATACTTGCATCATAGTTTCCAGGCTGAATGTGTTGGATAACAGGATCATCGTCAAAAAATTCGGTGCAAGCGATCCAGCGGCGTCGCCAGCTACGCGAATGAGAAGCACACATGAGCAATGCCATGGCACAAAATGCGAGGGTGATCGCGGCCAGGGCGAGTTGAAATGTGGTCGGTAGAGAGTGTGTCAAAAGAAGGTTGCGAGCCATGATGGAGTTGAAGATGGAGTTTGGGTATGGTTTGCTATTGTCTCACAGTTTTATATAGTTTGGAAATTGGGCAACGGGGGAGGAGCAGAGTAGTTGGAAATTGGAGGATTTGTTAGGGTTTATATGTTGTGTGGTTTTGGTATTCTTTTGACCTCCACTCTTGACATTTTTGGTGAGTTTAGGTAACAGACTCAGATATTAAAAGCTTTCAAGAAATGCTAAAGAAACTCTCTGAAAGTGAGACTTTTTTTCCGTCACTTCGTGTTTTTTGCACAATGTTTTATAATGTTGGCATGAGAATTGTGCTAAAAACATGAGGTAGCGGAGAGTTCATAGAGAGTCCTACTTTTAAAAGAGTCTCCTTAGCATAATTTTTTTTTTTTTTTTTTTTACAAATTTCTCTTACAAACCTTTGTGCATTAAAGAAAAATATTAGAAACATAGTCACAGTATAAAATAGTCGCAAATGATTCATATTATTGGTCCATTAATATAATAAAGGGAAATGCTAACAAAATTTTCATTTGGACCTTCTTGTTTAACTCTCGACTCTCTTTTCTATTTTGAAACTTTTTGACTCGTCTATTTTTAGGTCAATCTTTGAAAATCATCTCTGAAAAACATTAAATTAAGGGTAAAATACAAAAAACTACCTCAACTATTGGTGTCATGACACTTTCATACCTCATCTTTTAAAATTGACAATGTCATACCTCATCTTTAGAATTTGGTCCAATGTTATACCTTCCGTTACTTAGCCGTTTACTTTTCAGTTAAATGCTGATGTGGCTTGATTCGAGGTCCACTTTCTATTAAAAAATCATTAAAATATTATTAAAAAAATAAAGAAAAATATTTAAAATTATTTAAATATTAAAATAATAATAAAAAGTAAAAAAAAAAAAAAAAAAAAAAAACACCATCGGCTCTTCCCTCCCCCTCACCCTCCTCTCTCTTCTCCCCATCTTCATTTTCTTCCCCCCACCTGCAAACCCAAAAAAAAAAAAAAAAAAAAAAAATTTTGAAAACCCAACAACCCCCCCTCCGGAAGAACAAGAAGGAGAAGGAGAAGGAGGAGGAGGAGGAGGAAGAAGAAGAAGAGGAAAAAAAGGAGGAAGGGAAAAAAATATTCCCCCCCCCTCCCCGGTCGGCGCGGAAGAAGAAGAAGGTAGAAGGAGAAGGAGGAAGAAGAAGAAGAGGAAGAAAAGGAGGAAGAAGAAGAAGAGGAAGAAAAAAAAAAAAAAATTGAAAACCCATCAACACTCCCCTTGCGAAAGAAGAAGGAGAAGGAGGAAGAAGAAGAAGAAGAGGAAAAAAAGGAGGAAGGAAAAAATTTTTTTTTTTTTGAAAGCCATCAACTCCCCTGCGGAAGAAGAAGAAGAAGAGGAAAAAAAAAAAAAAAAAAAAATTTGAAAACCCATCAAACCCCAAATCCACCACTCTCATCCATTCTCCACATCCTCTTCCGCACCCATTCTCCATCTTCTCTGCGCACCCAAGATCCCGCCGACGGGATCTGGGTTTTTTTTTTTTTTATTTCTTTTTTCTGGGTTGCAAGAGGGAGAAGAGTGTGGGTGTGGGTGTGGGGGAAACTGAGTGTGGGTCTGGGGGAAGACAAATTGGAATTTTTTTTTTTTTTTGTTGGGATTTGTAGGTGGGGGAAGAAGATGAAGATGGGGAGAGGAGGGAGGAGGGAGGAGGGAGTGGGGGAGGGGGGGGGGGGAGGGGACGGACGAAATGAGGGTTTTTTTTTTTTTTTTTTTTCTTTCCTACATTTTATTATTATTTTAATATTAAAAAATATTAAATAATTGTTTTTTAGTTTTTAATAATTTTTTAATAGAAAGTAGGTCTCAAATCAAGTCACATCAGCACTTAACAGAAAAACTAACAGAAAAATTGACGGAGGTATGACATTGTCACAAATTCGCAAGATGGGGTATGACATTGTCTATTTTAAAAGATGAGGTATGAAACTGTCGTGACCCTAATAGTTGAGGTAGTTTTTTGTACTTTACCCTTAAATTAAATTAAGTTTGGAGTTGTTTGGTCATCTAATTTTTTTATAGAATGATCGTAAAGGGGGTGCACAACCTAGAGAGATGGCCGTATCTCTTTGATGAATGTGGTATCGAGAGGTGAGCTTAAGGTGGGTTCGGTTTCATTCGGTTCGGTTTGGTTTAGTTTGATTTTTTTTCCGGTTTGGTTTCAGTACGGTTTCGGTTTTTTTATTTTATAAAACTTGATCTTTTTTTTTCTTTTTTCTTTTTAATATGGAATTTAGAAAAGAGGCTTTGCATTGGTAGACTAATAGTAAGAAAATGGAGAAAGTGGGAAGGTAGTTGTACATATTGAAGTTCATATAAACCGACCATATTCTATCAACAACCTCAATTGCAAAGTAAAGTGATCACCGTATCCATTCAAAAAGCAAACAAATAGAGAAGCTCTTCCAAGTTTTAAAGCTTTCCAAAACTATCCTCTATAACCAATGAAATATCCTCCCTTACTGAACCAAGTACGCTCCTAGCTTAGTTTCAAACTTGACAACAAAGTTTCACAAAAGAAATATTATGGGCATACATCCATAAAGTGTAAAGGGATTCGGTTTGGTTTGGTTTCCAAACCTCCAAAACTGAACCAATAAAGTTATGTCCGATTCGTTTCGGTGTTCGGTCTTTTTTTTTTCGGTTTTCAATTTTTTGAACCTCACCCCTAGGTGAGCTAATTTGACTTAGTGCATGAAATAGTCTAATCTAAAGCAATTATTTGTAACACGCAGATCATCTATCAATAAATTTTGGGTGGTGCTATCCACAAATCCATTTTACTTTCTATACACCCCTTGTTAATTTTTGTCATTTGATTTTCTGTAATTCATTCGATCCAACTACCGAAAATTGAGAGGGATTGTGAGAAGTAAAAAAGGGTGTGTGGATAGCACACTCCTAAATTTACTTTAAAAATTTTCCCTTCAGAGTACGTATGTATGGGTTTTTTTTATTGAATAAACGAAGGTTCTAAAAGATGCTAGGCGTTAGTCAAGTGATGGGCTGGGGCCTAGCGCCTAGGCGGATTAGGCAGATTTAAGTAAATCTATTATATTTCGTGTAAATAAGTGTTTATTTATACTTAAAATATATATAATTTCATCATAAACTACAAAATAGAATGACATATATATTATGAGTTATTGGAACATAATGAAAACATGGAAAACAAGCATATAATGTGTGTTCATTTAAGTATACAACAAGGGTGCGTTTGTTGCACCGGACTATCTTGAACTAGACTAATTTCAGGGACTAAGCTGGACTGCCTTAGACTAGACTAAGCTGGATTAACTTAGTGAAGTGTTTGGTGCAGTGTCATACTAAGAAGCATGATAATACAAAATTTTATACAAATACAAAGAAATTGAAACCCAACATCAACATTTTCAGCAAAATCCAACTCCTACATCCAAATTCCAGAAAAATCATAACCAGATGATCACCACTCCGGAAAAATCAAAATTTTCACTTGTATGTGCATGACCAAAAAATCAATTTGAAAACATCAAATTACATTTTGCAACCCAAAATTGAATCTTTCCAATGAATCAAGAGAACCCAAATACCCCACAGAACTGAAAATTCAACCTAACAGAAATAGAATGTAGTCAGCAGCAAGCAAACCACAATCAAATATTTTCAGAGACGATATCCATTGCTGCATTACGTTACATGAACTTTGAGCATCTGGTCGTCTCACAGAAATGGAATGGATGCAAACCTATCTGAGTCTGCAACCTCAACGGCAACCACGACGTTTGAGCACTGATTTGGTAAATAGTAACATATAATTCATTCAAACCCATATATGGGACGAATTAAAATTGCTATCCCAATTCCCATATATATATATATTATCCATTATAATCTCAATCAACACCATTAATCATCCTAAATCAATATTCACAATTTAGATCCAAGTGAAACGAACTAAAAGAATTTCATGTGATTCTTCCGTGTTTTTCTCACCTTTTTATTTTCATCCAAGAATTGAAGATTCTTCTGCAAATTTGCATTTTTTTAATTGAATTTTGGGATTTGAGTACTCAGTAAATTTGAATCTATGAAGCTCTATTTCTTTGTCTAACGGCGAGGGTCCAGGCGAGCTCAGGGGAATCTGACAACGGCGAGAATGGGACCTTCCTCGGAGGTTTGCAGCACAAAAGTCATTTTCAGAGCTCTATGAAGCTGCAATTTGGTCGGGATGTCAGAGAGAGGACGTAATGCAGACGAAGCAAGGTCTTCGCAGAGGGAGGATGCAACACGACACAAAGGAGACGAAGTAGGTCTTAGTAGTCACGTGGTTTTCGCGGGGGAGGGGGGGGAGGCTTTGTTAAGACGACCTAGTGAGGGAGATAGTCCAACCGAGTCTCATTAAACCAAGTCCTAACATGTACCAAACAAAAAAATGTCCATTGGGGGAAAACTTTTCTCTCCTCAGTGAAAGTTTCAATTGTTGTTGTGTTTAATTTGCTTTTTGATTTGGTCTATTTTCCTTTGGTTGGCTTGGATTTTCTTCTGGGTCTTCAACTTTGCTGATCTGGCTTTCGGGATAGGATCGATATTACCTAGCTTTATCTTGGTCAGACTGCAACTATTCCTATTAAAGGCTGTGTCGGTTTTAGCACACTGAGCAGCTCAGAGATTTGATGACCGAGTTAATTCACCAAATCTGAAGTGGTTATTTTGGTTTGGTGCAGATGAATTGCAGGGGTGACTCTAGTTTACTTTATTTGGGGTTGGTGGGGAATTAATTTTCTTTACCATACCTGCGATCGTTATAAACTTGTGTGGAACCTTTGATTTAGAATTTTCAACTTCAAAAGGAAAGTAATTGCTCGCAAACTGATATTGTCATAAAAA